ATGAGAAGCAAAATACGTTCTTCTGTGATATGGTTTTTTATAATAGCAATAATGTTGACTGCATTCTAATACTCACAATAAAGGTCTGTTGAGATTGTTATGTGCCTGGGCTCCCCTTCAGTGGACTTTTTGTTTTGGTGAGCTAGTGAGTGCTTGTATATGTTTTAAAGTGTCAGGGAATCTTCAGTTGCGTTTTTAGACTGTAGGCAAATTATGCAGTCAAATTATTTACAGCACTGAAATACTTACTGTATGGCAAAGTAATTGGAAGATTTTTCTGTTCCTGAATTGCTTTGGTCTTTAACTATTTCAGGGTTTGAGTTTTGCAATGCACTCGGTTCTTGAAGGACAATGTCTTTCAACAACGCATTCGTGGTGATGGCATCTCTTCTTATGTGCAGACGTCTGCCTTCTAAGGGTGTTTCTAGTTTTGTGCCTTTGTACAATGTCATTACAAAATAACTTACATTTGCTTTTAGTGATTTCCTGTATTATAGTATTGCCTACAAACTGTTGTTCAGGACATTGTCGTAGCAGGAAAGAAATAAGCAAATGGTGCTAAGAAAGTTCCTGTCCTAGACGTCCTGTGGAAATCGGGCAGAATCTAAATGAGTTACTAACACAGAGAAGTGTTTCTGTTGTTCACAGCTAAAAGTAGATATTATCTTAAACATGCAAGAAATGTCAAAATTTTAATGCTGAAATAAAATATTTTAAGCATTATTGAAGGCGCAGTCTCTCAAATTTCAAGATACAAGGCCAAATTCAGATCTTGGAGCAATACATTGAAACCCTTCTTGTAGTTAACAGAATTATTAAAGAGGAGATTAAAGAAGAGACTGGCCTAAACATCTAGCCAGTCCAGTGTCCTATCTTCGGTAGAAATACAGCGTCAGCATCTGTGGAAACGTACTAACCGTAAAAGACCTGTACAAAGTGGTCTTTCCTTTAACGTGTCTTTCACTTCTGGTACACTGAGGTTTCCTTTAGCAAAATCTTTATGAAGACCATCAGTTTTATCAACCACTGACGGATCTGTGCTCCATGAGTTTAAATCCGTCTCTTTCCGCAGCCTCAGCTGGCATGCGGAATTCCACAGCTTTGTTCTGTGGCGGGAGGAGTTGTGCTTGTGTTGGAACTTGCCTTCCGACTCCACTGGCTGTACACTGCCGCCCTCAGTTCCGAGAAGGTTAAATACTGCATTATCGAAGAGACCAAAAGTAGTGTTGTCCTACACCCGAATTTTGGCACCCATCCTCGGGTGACTGGCGGTGTCTTTTCTCACTGCGTGAGCTTGCTTTTGTCAAACGCTGAGTCGATTCAGCGTGCAGATCTATCCCTCACGCCGCTGCGGGATGCATAACTGACTGCTGCTGCGGGTTTCAACACGATCTGCATCCCAGATGCTGTGAGAATAAAGTAAACATTTTTCTACCTTGTACCACTGGTACTATTAGATAGCAGAAAACCCTGTTATCTCCAATGGGTAAGAGAAAAAATCCATTTTACCTGTCCAAGAAGTGGTTCATTTCTGCAGGGACAAAGGCAAACTCAGATATTCTTACATGGGCTACTTCAGGTTCTTTTGCCACCAAAGGCACTTTGCCAGCTGGTAAATCATAATAGAGAAAGTCGAGAAGGCCTCTGCCCACTTTTCTGATCTAGCCAAGGTTAGTATAGAAGCTTCTAGAACTTCCCCATCGTTCTTTAAATCTGAAGAACATGTCATTTATGAAGTGACTGAAGTTTGTATTATCTGGTGGGGCTATACTTTTTTCCTTGTCATCTTTTAATTTTGCATCACATAAGGACTTTTTAAAACTTAATCAGAGATGATAGAGATAAGTGCTTCACACACAGTCTTGTTATGTGCCAAAATCATGCGAAGTCGACTGAGATGAATGTCTCATGCTTGGGAAGAAGTGTACCGAGTGTAAAAGTTCTTCTCTATCTGTAGTAAGTTGCTAACAAATGGTGTGAGCCTATGTTTTTACATAGTTTTCTTAAAATATGAGAGAGGATTGTCTAATATTGGTGATTTAATTAACACAGAAAAGCAGCTGCTTATTTAAAAATAAATGAGGTGATTGGTACGGGCATAATTTGACAATGTTTTCAGTTCTTAAAATTTTTTGCTTCCAATTTGCTGCTCCATTCAGGAGGCTCCCTTAAGTTAATTTCTTAAACTAGGGTTGGCTTCTCAGGCTCAATTTTTATATGGGTAAGAGCAACTTTTCTGTGGGTATAGATGCTTATGTATTCATATACAGGAATCATTTACCCTTGGGCTTTTTGATATGTAAAAATTGCAGTTGCACAAACCATCTTTTCTGCTAAGAAAGTGTATGCAAAACTGCGACAATGAATAAATGGTCTGCTTCTTCCTTGAGATTTGTGATTTCAATGTTTCATCACGCTGACATTTTTCTTTACCCCAACAATTATAGTCTAAATTGAGTAGCTTTTTGCCAGTGTGTACAACAAACAAAACCCTCATTTCCAGCACTAGAGCAGTGATGTTGAAGATGTATTAATTCTAAGGCCATATTGGCTACAGGAACCTTTTCAGCTTGCTCCTTTGCTCCCCTTCACTGATGAGCTAATTTAAGGTATTCTTCCATCTCTTCTCAGGTGCTAAAATAGAGGTCAATTCAATTGTCCCTTCACTGAAGGTTATGCAGTGAGGCTTTTCTTAACTTGAATTTGACCAGCCATATATGACAAGTGCCTTTTTTTTTTTCTCTGAAGAATGTGGATTGTGCATATTGCTCTGAAAACTACTTTTTTCTGGGTTTGGTTTTGTTTTGTTTTGTGGTTTTGTTTGTTTTTTTAAAATCTATGGGCTATTGCATCTCATTGAACTTGCATCTACTGAGATGCCCATCTTGGTTTGACGCACATCTAGAAGTGGTTTAAGTGATCCCAATTGCCAAAACTCACTTTCTTCCTTCAGTTTTTAAGAGACTTCTAGAGACATGGCTGTTCTTCCCGACTAGCATAGTTCAGAGGTTGTTTTCTGAGCGTTTCTGGAGGAAATAAAAATAATCTTGGGAAACAACACTATGTAGATATTGTGGATTTGTGGTTTTTTTCTATTAGTAATAGCCGTTTGATATCTCCTTGGTTTCCTGTCCGCCTTACTCTGGTATCAGCTACTAATGACCATTGGTAGCAAATACTAAAGGAGGAAAGCGAATAGCTACCCAAATGAGCTTGCTTCTCTCCCAATTTGCTGTGCAAGGAACCTGAATGACAAGTTTTGACTAACTTCAGAAAACTGGACCAAATACTACACACATCCCCACCACACACACTCCGGATGTGTGTTTCAGTGGCTTGGAAACATCGTTGTGCCTGCAAGCACAGACCCCGCTGCCCCTGGAGAGCCGGTGGCCCTGGGCTGGGCTGTCTCTTGTTGCTCTCCTGTAATGCCGCACTGCGCTGGGGGTTAGACACACACCTGAGGGTCTTGAAGCACATTTGAGTCAGAATTGTATTTCATGGTCAGACTTTTCATCTTTCATGGTTCAGCCAGCCTAGTGCTAATGCTGGCTGTTCTCTGTTGAGTCGGATTCCTTTGCTCGGCATGTAGGGTTCCCTACAAATGCTATGCTAATCCAGAAGTTCATTTTCTTTCTGTCTCTGCTTAATCAGGGCTGTTACAGGATTTTTCTTCTTTATGCCTTTGAAGGTTGCCTTTTTTTGGTCTGTCATCTACACTGGACCTGTTCTTCATCTTCTCCCAGTTGGATCTTTTGCTGACTATTGATGTTCGTCAAGTCCAGAGTAGGCTGCTCAAAAGTCAAACCCAAATATAGTCTCACTCATTTTAAAAAGGCTAGTCATGCTAAACCAAGCTTTTACTGCTGTCTGAGATCACATTTACCGTCTGTATCAAATGCTGTAGCACTGCAGTGGTCTACAGCCCAGACAGAAGGATGCCTGAATCACTGTTAGCACTGTCTTGGGCTGTAGGAGAGTATTGGTAGAGTTGTTTCTAGACTGTCTAGTACCCATGAGTCACAAAGAAGAGTGCTGCTGTCACTTTTTTTCTTGAAATCGGCCTAAGTCCAGCCTCAAATATGTGTTTCTGTTATGACTTAGCTAATTATTCTGGGCCCATTTGCCCAACTACTTTTGCAGAAGTGAGCATGAGTTCTGGTGCAACTAAATGCTGACTGACGATCATAAAAGGCGGACAAGTAAGAAATGATACTCTGGAACCAAGGAAATTATATTTTTTTACCTCAAGGACCTTGCATGTAATTAGTACCAAAAAGCTTGACTTAATATGCTTAATGGTTATACTGATCTTACACCTGGCAGATGAAGCCCAAGAAGCTAATGTGCTTCCCACCAGATACGTGGCTGTATTGAAGTGCATGGTGCAGGTGGGAGTAAAAGCGAAAGGTCAAATGTAATTGACTCTGACCCTCAGTCCCCTTCATAGTCAGTGGAGCTGCATCCAGCCTGTTTTTCACTTAATATAAATAATCACATTATGAATTGTATTTAATTCTAGTGCTGCAGCACCTGGAAGCCTAATTCTTGCCTGTTCCCTCAGCAGGCTAGGCTCTCTAGAAACACAAAAAATTCTACTCCTGACACAGAGCACAAAGTCTGGTTGCACCACAGCACGGGTGAGAGCAAGAGTTCTTGGCCAGGGTCATGTCAATATGCTTAATTTACACATTGATTTAACGAAGTCCCCCCTTGTGCCTGCTGCCACTTGTTCTCTCCGATGACCGGGCTCCGTAGTGCTCCCTGGAGCAGGGATGAGAAGTTGCTGAGGAGACCACGAGGGCTGTTCCAGGTGAACGGGCCTCTTGCGGTTTTCTCAGAAGCATCGTATGCGTCACTCGCCCAATTTTGTGGCCAGTCTAGCAGCACATAAGTGAACCCATCCGTGTGATGGTTGCTATAAAAAGGCGGGTGAAGGCTACGTGGGGTGTGCAGGGCAGCCTCACTGACAAAAGGGGATGGAGCTCTCCCATCGCAAGATGGGCTCCATCCCATTTTGCACCCTTCTTTGCTGCTTTATTACCATAGCAGCAGCCAGTGTATTTGGTAAGTAGACTTGTTCTTTTTCTTTGCCTGTGTCCAGCAGTAACTGTGCTCCTGTGATCTTTGTGCTCCTCTTTCTATTATTCCAACTAAGTATATAATGGTCTCGAATCTTACACACTGCAAACAGCTACTTATTGTGTGCTTTGCAGACCGAGTTTGGGCTCCAGGTTAAATCCTAAGCTATAAGGATCTTTAAATGTTCAGGGTTATGTGACTTCAGTACATCTGGATTTTGGGTGGCAAAAAAAGTTTCCTGGAAGAGCAGGCTGGGCTAGAGAAGGAGTTTGGGTAAGAAAAGTGGGTGCTGCAGGGATTTGAAGATTGTATCTTCTACTTGTATGTGTCATCATCTAATTTAGGCTTGAACCTTAACTTAAGATACTGGATAGTCTGAGTGCCATTCCCATTTTTTTTGATCTGAGTTTGATAGTCCTGCACAACAAGCGGTTTGAATGACTCATTAATTTCTTAACTTGGATGTCTTACTAGACCCTCTCTAGCACTGTATGCAGGGATCTCCACACATCCCAGAGCAACTGGCTCAGAGTCACATGAGATAGAAATGGTGAGGTTTGCCTACATGTGGATGTCTGTAGGTGAGCTAATCTAAAATCCCTTTACGGTCTCCTGAAAATTTTCACGTGAGCTTTAGGGGACACAGTAAAAACTCACAGAAACAGAAGCGATTCAGAGATCCTGGGTGCGCAGAAACCATCTGTGGTTAAAGAAGTCTCTGAGCTACAAATTATTGGAGGCTGGAAAGTATTCAGAATGCTTATATTGTATTTGCACTACTATTTGTGGTCATACTCAGACCAAATACTGGATTAAGTGAACCTTTGGTCTAAATGGCTCTAGCTATGGTTTTGTTTGTTTGCTGTATTTTTACAGAACTAGTGAACGGGATTAGGAGCATGAAATCCATCAGCTTTTGAGGATGGGGAAAGTGTCAAATCAACTAATCTGTTGTGTGAAAAAGAACCTACTGAATTTCATCATTCTCCTAAAACAGCATCCAAATTTGGGTTGAATTTAAGAACCGAAGAGTTGACTGTTTCCTTGCTAGGTAGCTTCAGTAGTTGATCACTTGTCCTGGTAAAACTTGAGAAGTTCTCCTGGTATGAATTAGTCTGATGCTAACTGCTAGATTCTTTTTAGGTCTTTCATGAGATTAAGAAGAAATACCTCTCCTTCTGGTGGAATAGTGAGTGACTTAGCTTCAGGAAAGAATAAATACTCAGAAATATTGATAGTGATGCGTGTGGTTATGGCAAAGGGCTGTTTTTTGTGGTGGTAAGTGCAACTAACTCTGAGTAAGCAAAGTACCCCAAGTACCAGAAAATGATAGCCATACCAGTACAGAACAGAGCTGAGGCTAATTAAATACAGGCCTGGGACAGCGGTTCGTGAGCATCTCTGTCGTGTGCTGATCCTGCAGCTGGCAGCCCAGCGAGTTTGTTCAGTACCTCCCTGTGCTGTCCCATGCAGAAATGCACGCAAGGAGCAATGGGAGAAGAACCAGGGAGGACTCGTGACCTTGGTGCTTTTACCACGCAGCGCTGGCACTAACAGGGTTTTGATAAGAACAGGCTTGTGGTGAAGCCACCCTTACGTGTTTACCTTCTTGCTGCTTTCAGAGTACCAGACAGATTCCCAACCCTTACGTCCATGCGAACTTCAGAGGGAAAAGGCTTTTTCAGGAGGAGAAACCTACGTTCCTCAGTGCTCAGAAGATGGCCAGTTCAGGTAATTCATCCCTGCTGCTATTCTGGCGTTATACGACATGACCTTTCACTACTAATGAAAGCTTTAGCTTCGGTTTTGACGAGTCTCCTTATTGGTGGACTGGAGGGTGAGGGGTGCAGGAGACTGAAGGGGCTTCATTGGGCCATGTCGCAGATCCAGCCTCTCCTGAATGAATTCCCTGGTGTTGGAAATAATCTCTGGGTTAAGAGGTCAGTCTAAGGTGAATAGGCTAATCTTGGCAGCATTATTTGCATGTTAAATACTTGGTGCAGTTGTTGTATAATGCAACTGCTCTCTTCCTACGCACGCTCATGAGCTCATGGTCTGCGATCAGTGTGCCAGCTAGCACAGCTGAACCAAGCTGACTTGGAGAATTTATCCACCCAGCTCTAAGTGGCACAGTTGTCTTTCCTTCTAAAGGCAGTAAAGGAGCTAAAGCACATGGCGAACAGTAGTTTAGAGAACAGCATGTTTCTTGAAGATGCAAGAAGTTAATGAGTTAAAGCTGAGACTGAGGGAGAGAGCAAATTGTAACGTTCTCTGTGATCTTACTGTTGTTGCCTAGGGTGGGGGACCTAGACCATGCTAGATTTTACTTTAAAAATGTCTCAAAATGCATAGTAGTTCTCAGATACTGAGAATAGGTATTTTGTCCAACCTGCTTGCTTCCTGAATGACTTCAAGTCACTTTACCATTCCTGAAGAGTTCAGAGAATTACTAGCATTAAGACCTCCCATCAGGTAGATTTAGAGTCACTAGAAACACAGCCCTTTCTGATTCCATTCGTTGCACTGTAAAAGTACTGGAACTTGTTTGGCCTGCTTTATGTCTAGATTTATGTCCCATACTGACTGAGGACTCTGTCACTAACAAAGTACAATATGTTACTTGTGATCTCCTTCAGAGCAGTTCAGTGCAGTAGGAATGGTCTTTCCTGTTGGTGTGTGGATGAGAATGGCACTGAGGTACCTGGCAGCAAACAGGATGGATATCCCATATCTTGTAAGTCACAAGTTTCTATTTTTGTTCAGATTGGGTAAAGAGCCATTTAAATCTGCATTTGAACTGCTGAAATCAAGAATAGGATAGCCCCAGACTTTGATGGACTCTAGGCTGTTGTAATTTGCTGGGTCTTTCTAGTGGAAGTTCTGGAGTTTCTGCAGAGCTTATCATGGAAACTTGATACTGGATGATCTTTATTTATGAAAGTCACAATAATGTAAATCATGAGTGAGAGATCAACTTAAAGATTTGGGTTTTGAGTTGGAGGGCTTCAACCCCATCTATGGTGGGTTTCTATATACCAGTTTTCACAACCTCAAGTCCATCAATGTCGTCATGCCACCTGAGTGGCAGAATCAGAACTTGCAGCTCTGAGAAAACTCAGATCTTGTCTTAATAAATGACTCGGTGTCCAACAAGTACCTTCCTCTAACAGTGCCCCTCTGGTACTACAGGCTTATCCTTTTGCCAGCTGCAAAAGAAGAGGATCTTGGTGAGTCAATACATCAACAGCAGTAGCATCTCTTACATCCCTCAGTGCCTGGATTCAGGGGCTTTTGATGTGGTGCAGTGTGACACAGAGCTGGGTCAGTGCTGGTGTGTAGATCCAGAAGGAATGGAGATTTATGGCACCAGGCAGAGAGGAAAGCCAACACAGTGTAAGTAATATTCAACAAAACAGTGGGGTTTTTAGGGTGGGAAGGTTTGGTGTGAATGAAAGGTGGTAGATCAGGAGCTTGGACACTGCAGCCTACACTTATCCTATAGAAGTATAGGTTCTTAACTGAGACATTTAAGTCCCTGTTTCATAGAATCATAGAATATCTCAAGTTGGAAGGAACCCATAAGTATCATTGAGTCCAACTCCCTGCTCCTCATAAAGAGAGTACGAGGCACCTAGTACTGTCCACGTTCAATGTAATAAATGTAAACTCCTTCCAAACCATGCAGTAGCTGTTCAGCTCTTCGTGGGAAGTTAAAACACCAGCAAACATTACCTTTGTTTCCCGTCAGGTCCGGGGAACTGTGAGATCCGAGACCGTCGTATTCTGCATAGGTTTGGGGAGAAGAGCCCACCACAGTGTTCAGCAGATGGAGAGTTTCTGCCTGTCCAGTGCAAGTTTGTCAACACTACAGACATGACGTTTTTTGATCTTGTTCATAGTTACAACAGGTAAGAGCACAAGCTTCTGAAGCAGGAAAGCAATCCTGCATACTTCTTCCAGTCACCGTCCTACTGCTCTCTTTTCTTTCCCCAACATGAAGTTCTTCTTCTGTGACCCCACATGATATTATTTTCTATTAATGAATGGACAAAATAAAAAACTTTTTCCTCTGAATTAAATTTGCTCATTTAGAAAATCCCAGTATTCTATCCCTGTAGTCTAATCTGTGTGTCCTCACACAGCAGTGGATACCACATTGCAATCTGGATTTGGAAAAGTAGCCAGGGCTACCTTTCAGACAGACACATAACAGCAAACGAGATAAATGCGGAAGGAAGAGAGGAATTCAGGTGGAGCGTGTCCAGAGAAGGGCAACGAAGCTGGTGAGGGGGCTGGAGCACAAGTCTTATGAGGAGAGGCTGAGGGAACTGGGGTTGTTCAGTCTGGAGAAGAGGAGGCTGAGAGGAGACCTTATCGCTCTCTACAACTACCTGAAAGGGGGTTGTGGCGATGAGGGTGTTGGTCTCTTCTCCCAGGTAACTCGTGATAGGACAAGAGGAAATGGCCTCAAGTTGCACCAGGGGAGGTTTAGATTGGATATTAGGAAAAATTTCTTCCCTGAGAGGGTGGTCAGGCATTGGAACAGTCGCCATTTCTGGAAGTGTTCAAAAAACGTGTGGATGTGGCGCTTCAGGACATGGTTTAGGGGACATGGTGGCGCTGGATTAATGGTTGGACTTGATGATCTTGAAGGTCCTTTCCAAGCTTAGTGATTCTGTGATTCTGTGTATATATGAGGTAGGAAAGATAATTCCATATGGGAGGTGAAAACGGATGGCCAGATGGACAAGGGGCAACATGCAAAGAGCAAGTTCCACATGATGGTGGGAAACTCTTGTCCATTTAGGCAGTGCCATGGTTGCTCACACAGGTGAACCAGCAAGTGATGAACGGGTGTGCTGACGTACGACTGGCTTTGGATGGTCGCAGTGGTCTGGGAAAGATTTCAAAATGCTGGATCAAATCCTTGTCTGTGGGAGCAAGAAGCTGTTGTCCTGTGCAGGAGCTGGGAATTAATGCTCAGGTGGAGAAATAAGGGAGAGGCAAGGGGAGCCATGGAGAGAGAAGTTCGTTTTGATGCAGATGTTCAGACTCTCCAGAGAAACCTTTTGATCTTGGCATCTCAGGCAACACATTTCTCCGGTGGAGGGCAGTGGAGTAAATGTAATGTCTCATTCTGACTTGGCTCTGTAGTAGCAAAGGCATTTTATTGTAAGTGTCATTTTGCTGTTTTGAGGGTTTTCTTTTTTAATTTAAGCAAAACTGAAAGGCAGGCCCAAATGCACAGTACAAATTTGTCAGAGCTTCTGGAGAGGCTATTTTGGCAAGGGCAAAATAATCTAGCTGTTTAATTTGTTGGCCTGTGGAGTGTGGAGATTCTAAAAAAGCAATTACTGAGGAGAAAGCAATGCTTTAAATTAACATATTTTTTTCTCCCGTTGGGAGGGTTGTCTGCAAAGGCCTGTGAGATCAAGCTTTTCTTGTGTCTGTGTTGTGTAATGGATCTCAGCAGGATTGTTTCACTCCCAGCTGTCCACCTTTCTAATTATGGCACTGACTTAACCCATTATCATCATATCTGAGTATCTCAGGTCGTTAATGTATTTATTTTCACACTATACCTACCTGAAATGTCTTTATCCCGTCACATAAACAGGAGGCCAGAATACAGAGTTGAAGGGGTGAGTTCCACAGCAAAGGACAATAGCACAACAGGGATTTAAACACATATTTTATGTTCATGTGGAACCAGTGGAGCAACATTCTTCGGTTCCACAGACTTAGTTTTTGAAATCTAGACATGTCACAT